GCCTTCAGGTTGAAGTTCATTCGCTACGCTCACTCACCTTTTGGTTGCAAATTAGCTGTTGTCATAAATGCAAAAGAAATAATTGTGCTGCACCCTGTTGGTAATCCTTGTAACTTTAATGCTATTGAACATCAAAAAACAGAACCAACTTGTTTAATTGAAACAGCTGTTAAGATTCAATAATTCCATTTCTCATAAGGTTAACATGGGAAACTCCAGAGCCACTGGGGCGGAGCCCGAAAGGATTTTTGAAATAAGAATATGCCTATATGTTAATCGGGAATGTGAGCTATCATCATGCCAAATTTCAGCCCAATCCGACCAGTATTTTTCGCGTTCACTTGTCACAAACATACATCCAAACTTTCTCATTTATAATATTAGTAGGATCACAAATCCTTCCATCTTCAGTTTCTTCACTCACAATAAATCTTTAGCAAAACTAAGTCAGCTGTTATAAACTTTAGAAATATTGCTGTGCCTTATCAATACAGTCTTTTGAAATATCAAAGAAACTATATCTATAGGTACTATACAAAATTTTAAACAAATAATTTAGCATTAAAGACAGCAGACAAAACTAATATGATTATCAAAGCATCAAGGACTAAAAAATGTAATAGCAAATACAGTAGCCTATATGTTTCATTGCATCTCTGATTCTACTCTACAAAAATAGCAACAAACAACTAAATATACAAACCAGTTCTTTTAATCAGTTCCATCGTCCATTGCCTTTACATTTTCTCACTTACCATTAAGGCCAGGCGCACACAGGCGATTTTGAGTCGCGCAACAGTTGCCCGACTAAAATGTTCAACATTGTTTTAAATTGGAGTGCGCACACGAAGGAAACAGTCTGGGGACAGTCGCGCAACTGTTGCAACCGATGTTCCCGGACCCAATTTGCCAGCGACTGCTCTGCGACTGAATTGTTGCGGGACTGTCGCTCCAGGTTTGGTATCCATTGAAACAAGTGTAGATGCGCACACATGCAACTAAATAGTCGCTGTGTCGCTCAGTCTCACCCCAGGAGTTCAACTACTCGTGGTCAGAACTGTCACTAGTGTTTGCTCTCTTGTTGTGTGAAGATTTTAGAAAATTACAAGTATGAGTGTGCGTGATGAGGATTTTTGAGAAGAGGCCGACTATATTTAAAGTCATTGAAACTGTCCTTTCACAAGTCACTCACTATATATATGGGATGAACCCAGTATCTTCTCTTTTTCTTTCGCGCGCGAAACTTCAGCAATAAAGCACATACTACGGCTGTACCTATCATTGAAATCCATTCGGAACGCTGTTACGAATGTATTTCCAACACGTCTCAAGACTAGATCCGCGACTAAAAAGTTGCCTGTGTGCGCACTCCAGCTCAACTGTCGCTAGACTTCAGAGTCTCCGAGAGAGTTGCGCAACAGTCCCCCGATTAGTCGGGCAACTGTTGCGCAACTCAAAATCGCCTGTGTGCGCCTGGCCTAAGTAAACATAGTAACAGATATTTCATTGATTTTAGATACAAAAGAACACTGTGTACCGCTTAGTTTTATGATATATTCCTTGGTTTAATTTAATCAGTGGTGTAGCAAAACAAGTAATAAATGTATTAAATAAAGTAAATGTGAACTGAAAGCTATGTCAAGATAAAATAAGAGTATTTTGTATTACCATTTGATAATTAAATATAGTTACACATACACAACAGATTTTAGAAAACAAAAATCAACGACGTACAATTTAGTCATTGATGATATTCTTTAGTTTAATTTAAGCATAGTTTTAGCAAAACCCAATAACTAAATATACCTAAATATACATCTAAAAAAAATGTGATGTGCAAGTTATGTTAAGTTAATCTACTTTAACACGTCATGTTAAGCAGTTCAAATTTATTTAAATTAGCCTCCAAATTCATACAAAACATCTATACATTGTAATTTTCATACTGTTTCCATGAAAACATATCAATAACATTATTTTCATAACTTTACACGCTTTAAAAAATCCAAAGCAGAGCCGGAGTTGATACAGCAACATTTATAGAAGCTTTTTTTCTATAATCATTGACATAGTTTTAGGATAAATAATCCATGATAAAAGGTTAGATTAAAATAAACCTACTTCATAGTTATGGAAAATATTATATTTAATTTCTTTGTATCAGCTGTCTGAGATTGTGAAATATGCAGTTTAGCAGTTCTTCTTGTTTACATTTAAATGTCAAAGCAAATGTAAACAAACATTGTTAGTGTTCTTATCGCAGCCATGGAGACCAATCAATATTTACTTTTAAAATGTTCACCTCAGAACTTTTAAAGCCAAAGGGGCAAAGCCTACGGTCAGTATCGAAATGTGAATAGTCCTTTTAATGGTCCTTGGTATGGTAGCTATATTTTTGTAAAATTTAAGCCAAGTTGGTTCAGTAGTTTTTGCACCTATTAGTAACACACATACAGACAGACACCATTAGATTTTTATATAATAGTATTGATGTGAAAGTTTGTGTGTTTGTTTGTTTGAAGTTCAATCACGTAACATTCCCAATTAACATATAGGCCTATTCTTATCTCAAAATTACTTTCAGGCTCCGCCCAAATGGCTCTGCAGTTCCCTATGTTAACTTTATGAGAATTCATATTTAAAAGGAATTAAAGAATTTAGTCAGCTGTTTAAACTTTACAAGTTAGTTCTACTGTATAGTATGCAACAGCATAAAAAATGTATAAGGTTTCGCAACAGAGTGCAGCACTATTATTATTATTTTTGCATATATGGCAACAGCTAATTTGAACTAAGCAGCAACAAAAAGCTGTGATAAACAATAAGAACTGTCAAAGTAGGATTGTTTACAGTTATGTTGATGTTTTTAATTTAATGAATAATTTGTGATATTGTGTGAATGTTTGATAATTCATGTCTTTCTAATGTTTAGGTGCAGTGGTAGAACATTATGGCTATTGGTAGATGTGTTTTACTATATCATACCGAAAATTTAAAAACCAAATTTTATCTAACTGTGTCCTCCCCCATTGCAAACGCAAAGCTTGAGTATAACTGCATTAAACATTTTATACTTTGCCAACCCCGTACGAAGGACGGGTAATCTGCTAGTAAATATATATAGCTGCAATTTTTGACAACCTTGTGTTACCTACAAACTAGAAAGCGTCATCTCGGCTACTCTCAGCCAGTGTCCTACCCCTTGTCTATTGTCCCTTCTAGTATTGCGGGTCTGCAGTATTCACCGTATGCAGGAGCTTGGACGTCGTGCAACAGCGCTGAGCTATATTGGACCTCGTGCAACAGTCAAATATTTATTGGACGTCGTGCAATTGGCAGCGGCTTTGGACGTCGTGCAAATGATACTTTTTTACAATTATATAGTGTGCTGTTTCACGACGTCCAAAGCTTGTAGAAAGACTATATTTTTTGCAGTTGCTTTTGGGCCTCGTGGCACTTGGACGTCGTGCAACAGTCAAATATTTTATATTGGACGTCGTGCAACAGTTTAAAAATTATTTTTTGGACGTCGTGACACTGAATAATATTATTGGACGTCGTGGCACTTGGACGTCGTGCATCACTCCCGTTTGTTACAGTGGACGAAATACTTGTCCCGTTCCGGGGGCGTTGTGGATTTTGTGTATTCATGCCAAAAAAACCAAAGAAATATAGCATAAAAGTACAGTGCTTAGCAGACTCAAGGACATATTACCTAGTAAATGCATACATTTACACCGGAAAGTAAGCTATTACCGTAATACACATGGTAAGACCTGGCTCTGGGACCAATTTATCTTTTCATTTTGATGTCCCTAGAGGCCAAAAACACTGTCCGTTTAAATTCATATAGAGTGGTGGTAAAAAGTCCCGGGACGGCTTAATATTTTTTTAACCGTTACAGATGGAGATATACAAGTTGGTACACTGTTACTGGGCATAAAACACTATTTTACTACAACTTCAATGAGCTGCTACCACTTCAGGGGAACGGCCCACAAGGAGTCGAATGAAAATCTTAAATAGAAGCATAGGTTGATATGCATATCAAACTTACATAACAAATTTGGAAATTGCATTTATTTCATACTAAACTACATACTGTATTAAAATTTCACACCAAAACACTTTTAAACCCTCCCTGTTGCAGCCAACCTAAGTACAGTAGAACCTCTTCGAACTAATTGGGACCAGGGGTAGTTCGGACTACCTACTGAATAGTTCGGATTACAGAACATATTGTTGTTTTTACATAACAATAGCTAAAATATGGCTAAAATTGATCAACATCATTTTGGGAAAAGTGAAAAAATGTTTTATGAAGTAAAATACAGTGTTTATTTAATGCAGTAGTAAACATGGTGTATAAACAGTACTGTAAATTAAATACGTATACAATAAAGAACTGCTGTACTGTGTATAGAGTACAGCGATGAGGGGTTCGGATTAGTGGACGTTCGGATTACGGGGATTCGGATTAAAGAGGTTCTACTGTACCTGTTAAACTAGTGCTATTTAAAAAGGGAATAATTTTGGGATATTTTAAAGGATATATTTTAGTGTAAATCCAATCAAGCAAATAGAAATTCAGTTAGTCTGTAGGTTTGCTGCGAAGGGGTTATTTAACTTTGCATTTGCTTGTCTATGTATCTCTTAGACTTACTCTTTCTTGTGTATTTCTACGGTATGGCTATTGTTTAGGATTCTTTATTTCTGGGAACTGGAAAAGAGTCCAAACCCAGGTTTTGTTTACAACATCCTAATTGATGGCTCAGTGGCAACTGAGACGACTTTGGATTAGAAAGTGAACATAAAAACCACTTAGCTGTCCAGCTAACCATGTTGTCAAAACATCAGTATGAACCAGCTCTGTTGTATTCAAATTCAGATCATTGATGCCATGGTTCTAAGCTGTTGCAGTTCCAAATGAACCATAGATTAAATTCTACTCCATTCTTCATATAAATGTTATGAACAGCACAGACATTGATTCCTTGTACCTTGAGAGCCAGTCTGACAGCTTGAGCCGCAGTGTTGACAGCGTGCTCCAGGTGGGAGCAGTGTTGTCGCAACTCGTACAACTCCACCTCGTGTTGGCACTCCTGTACCTGGCGTGAGTGCAGCAGTTGTCGCAACTGTTGACTCTCATGCTGCTCTGTATGCAAGGCGGCTGTAGCCCGCTCCAAGCGGTGTTCCAGCGTAGCATTGGCTCGTTGCACTTGCTCCATCTCTCTGAAAGACTCCTTAACATTGTTGTGGAGCTTAGAGATTTTATCAATAATCTGCAAAAAAAAATAAAGTTAGATCTTAATAATTGCCGTTAGTTATGTAGCAAGGACTGCCATAGTCATTGAATAGTCATTGAATAGTCATTGAATAGTCATTGAATAGTCATTTATTCAGTCTTTAAACAATACATTATTGTAATTGACATCGTCATTATTATTGTAAAAGATATAAGATACAATACTTATAATTATTAAAATTTGACATGAAAATTCCAAAATATAGGCTGCCCTTATTGAACATTTAACAGGTTTAAAATAATTTTTAAAAAATAGGCAAACTTAACAAACTTAAATTATGAATAATAGTGGGTCTTTCTTAAAAGGCTAATGGTTATCACAGGTGTACAATGAACATAGAGGGACAAAATTACTAACATTATCACAGATGGAATATGGTAAAAAAAACATATCAAAATAGTGAACATGAAATATATGAAAATCAATTACAGTAATAAAATCCTAGCCTAACTTAAACAAAATTTCTAACATTATCACAGATGGAATATGGTAAAAAACATATCAAAATAGTGAACATGAAAAATATGAAAATTAATTACAGTAATAAAAATCCTAGCCTAACTTAAAAGCATTTAACATTAGCAAAAAATGAGATCACATTCAAAAAATTCCTCAATTTTGTAAAATGGGTGAGATGAAAGCCACATAGTTAATTTTCTTTTAAAGACACTTAACGGCAAGGACTTGACTTGGGGATGAAGCTTATTAAATAATTTAATACCTAAAACAAAATGACTGTTTGCAGTTTTCTGTAGCCTACAGTGAGGTACATCAACTAGACCCCTATTCCTTGTGTTATAACCATGAATGTCTTGGCGCAAATCATACTCGTTTTCCTTTTTCTTAACATTAATCAGACAATGCAGGATAAAAACATTAATGACAGTTAAAATGCCAGTGCCCACAAATAACGGTTTACAATGTGCTCTTCGGCGAGATCTAGTTATGATTCTCACAGCCTTCTTTTGAATTAACAATACATTATTTACATGGGTACTATTTCCCCATAACAAAATACCATAACTTAAAATTGAGTGAAAAAAAGCATAATACACAGACTTTAAATAATTCTGAGGCAGACTAGAGCTAAGACATTTAAGAAGATAAATACACCTAGACAACTTACCACTAATGAAATCAATGTGTTGAGACCAGGTCAAACAGTTGTCAATCACTAAACCTAAAATTTTTATGTCATTTGGTTCATTGTAATCCTCGACTCTATTTCTAGTCTGACAGAGTAAGTGTTGAGTTTTATTCTCATTAATAATCAAACCATTAGCACTAAACCATTGCTTGGCTTCTAAAATAGTATTTTTGGCAATATTAGACAAGACATTTGTATCATTGCTTGTACTAAGAAAGGTTGTGTCGTCTGCAAACATTGTGGTTGAAGAAAGGGACACATTGGCAGGTAGGTCATTAATTGATAAAAGGAATAATAAAGGCCCCAAGATAGAACCCTGTGGTACTCCCATTATTACATCCAGACATCTTGAACGATCACCCTTCAACTCTACAAACTGAGATCTTCCATGCAAGTATGATTCAAAAAACTTCAAACATGAACCCCTAATGCCGTAAAAACTTAATTTATCTAATAACACAGAGTGATCTACAAGATCAAATGCCTTGCTCAGATCACAAGCAGTAATCTGAGCAAAGCTACCGTCTTCAAAAGCTTTAATAATTTTGAACAACATCGACTCAATTGCATCTATTGTGGATAACTTTTTACGAAAACCAAATTGAGTCTCGCTAAGAATATTATTACTTGCTAGGAAGAAACACATTTGGTTATAGATAATACGCTCCATAATTTTACCAAACAAAGGAACTAATGATACAGGCCTATAATTACTAACCTCAGATTTCTTGCCTTTTTTGAACACTGGAACTACCCGTGAAATCTTTTGGGATTTATGTTTATGTTTCCATATGTTTCTGGAATCTGCATAACAAAATTTTAGCTTCAGGACGAGATAGTGAGATCCTGTTTTATCTTGCTGTAAATAAATGATTTTATGATAGTTCAATTCAGTTAAATTATCACAGAAATTCATTATATAATGATTGGGAAAGCAAGTTGGTCTAGTGGTAGAGCGCATGGGGGACTTTGGTCCCGAGTTTGAATCCTGCCAATCACCATTGGTTTTTTCAAAGTGATAATTTTGCAACCTCTCCTGAAGTACTTTAGTGTACAACACAATCCCAGGCTAGAGTCTTGTCAAAAACAGAATAAAATGGTTGAGGTTCTGAAGTGAATTTTTGACATCGATCACATAAGACCAATAGATGGAGCACATTGGCCGTGACTTGAAGCCAGTATTTTTCACTGATCTTAACTAAGATGGCGGCTGCCGGCTGTGATGAGCCCTAATAGCGGGCGTAACTAATTAAATGTTAGTTTATATCATTGATATCCTTGACAATACGCCTTTGTATTATTACTAATACAATGACCTTCAAAATATGCTTTTAATTTGTTTTCTAGTGTTGACCGTTTCTTATAAAAAGTAAGATTACATAATTAACAACAAAAACTTTTTGGGCAAAAGAAAAATTCTGAAAAGCTACAAATTTATTTATAATATATGTATCTATATCGTCTTAAAGTTTGATAAAGTTCTGGCATTTTGTTTACAATGTATGAATTTTCAAAGTCACATGATAGTTTCTGAAACTTTTTAGACAACTCTCCTTTATATTTTGACTGTTATATTAATTTTTGTGAAAGAGCTAAAAAATATTAATTTTTAGTTGTATACAAAGAATAAAACAAAGAACATTTATATTTACTCCACTCTGTGTTTTTCTAATTAGTTTGGCCTGACAAATAATATTACATAGAATACTATACGAAATACTGAACATACCGGCCACCTTGAAGCTATTGGCTTCAACAAAGGAGAAAACACATATTAAATAATAATAGAATAAAATAAAGCAAACACAATTTTTCCTAAAACCAAAGGTTTCATGTAAAAATGAAGTTAGTAGTCCTCTGGCATCACAGGCAGAGGGAACACCTTGAGAGCGGGCGGGGTGAAAGTTCCAGAAGCTGTCTTCACTGTGACGACTCGAACTGTTCCATCAGCGCCAGGGTGAGTGGAGACGATGCGTCCAAGAGGCCAGGTGAGTGGAGGTGAATTGGAGTGGATGAGCACCAAGTCTCCGGTCTTCAAATTCTCATGAGGGGTGGTCCACTTGGATCGCTGCTGGAGGGAGTGGAGATACTCAAGCTGCCAACGCCTCCAGATACGCTGGTGAAAAGCCTGGACAAGCTGCCACTGACGAAGACGATTGAAGGGCACTTCAGATAGGTTAGGTTCCGGCAGGGCAACTAATGGCGCTCCGATGAGGAAATGTCCAGGGGTCAGCACAGAAATTTCGGAAGGGTCTGAACTAAGAGCTGTAAGAGGGCGCGAGTTTAGCATTGCCTCTACTTGAATGGACAAAGTTTTAAATTGGGTCAAAGTTAAAATTGTTTCACTAATTACCCGTTTCAGATGGTATTTTGCACTTTTAACGGCACTTTCCCATAAGCCACCTTGATGAGGTGCAGAGGGGGAGTTGAAATGGAAGGTTATTCCTTTGGGGGTAGTGAAATGATGAATATTGTCCTGCGAATCAGGTGTAAGGGTGGTTTCCGAGTTTACACCCACAAAGTTGGTTCCGCAGTCAGAATACAGATCGGAACAGAGTCCGCGTCGGGACACAAAACGTGTGAGAGCGGCAATGAAGCCTGAGGTGGTAAGATCGGTGACTACCTCTATATGAATAGCTTTGGTAGCCATACAGATAAAAATACACAAATAGACCTTAATCTGTCTAAGAGCTTTGAGACTGCAAACGCTAAATGGTCCGGCGTAGTCTACGCCTGTAGATGAGAATGGATGAGTAGGATTGACCCGATGAGCAAGCAGATCGCCCATTAGAGGGATTTTGTTTCTTGGTTTATTTTTAAAGCAAACAATACACTTAAATATGCGCGAGCGGATAACGCTCCTGGCCGATAGAATCCACACTTTTCGGGCGAGTAGTGATTGAGTTAGTTGCGGACCTGAGTGCAAGTGTACCTGGTGGTAAAAGTCTATAAGCAAATTCACTACAGTATGAGACTTGGGTAGAATAATAGGGTGACGTATGTCATGAGCAAGGGAACAATGTGACAAACGACCACCGACGCGTATGAGACCATAAGGGTCGAGGAAGGGGGTGAGTTTCTGTAATTGTGCAGAACAGGTTGAGCCTTTGTTCAATAATTTAATATCCACACTGAAATGGAGTTTTTGCACTAGTTTAAAAATTGTCACTTCCGCTAGATTTAATTCACTGAGTTTTAAGTGTCCAGAGAGTTTGTTTTTAGACCTGGAAGAGTTTATGAATCGTAGTACATAAGCTAGCACACGGGTTAGTTTCAACCAAGATGAGTATTTCGACAATAAGTCCCATTCTGAAGGTGCGACTGTTGCACTAAATACGCTAAGAGAAGTTTCTTTAATTTCGTCCGTGGGAGTGAGTTCAGACGGCGAAAAACATGAGGGGGGCCAGTTGGCCGCAGGGAGCTGTAACCATGGTGGGCCAGTCCACCATAAGGGATGGTCAATGAGAGATGAGGCTAGGATTCCTCGTGAGGCACAATCAGCGGGGTTTTCCGTCCCTTTTATGTGTCGCCACTGATAACTGGGAATGAGTTCTTGCACTTGGGCTACACGATTGGCCACAAAGGTCTTTAGTCTATAGGGAGGGGTTTGTAGCCAAGTAAGAACTACAGATGAGTCACTCCACAATATAGTGGTATTCATAGTAAGAGAGTTAAATTGTTTTTCACAATAGTGCACTAGTTTTGATAAGAGGTGAGCTGCACACAATTCCAAGCGGGGTAAAGTTACCTTTTTTAACGGGGCAACACGAGTCTTAGACAATATTTGTTTCACAATGACTGTTTTGTCACTAAGTTCACACCGGAAATA